AAATATCTTTAACAATTCGCAAAATCTATACAGATCCAAAAAGAAACTGTTTCCGCCCGGGATCGAACCGGGGACCTTGTGCGTGTGAAGCACACGTGATAACCGCTACACTACGGAAACGATACGTGTTGCGTCAAAATTGTAGATCAGTATAAATTATTTAAATTTAATTCGTAATACAAAACTAAAATTCGAAACTTAAAAAAATAACAATGATTCCTAAATAAATAATATTCCAAACATTACGTTATGCACAATAACACAAATTATTATAAACTTACCTTTGCGATTGCACTAGCAGAAAAAAAGGTTGCACAGAAAAAAAGAAACTGAATTTGAAATTGGAACACAAGTCACAAGCGCCCTCTGAGACGACGCTTGGAAGCAAGTTGGTGGGAAACGGGAGGGATATCGTTTTTATACCATCGCAAATTGCATGGCTATATTGACCACCCGCTTGAATATGGTTCATTACTTCCATTTCATGGGTGTGTTTATGTCTAATTTGTAATTGTGTTCGCACCCTGTCTTCAAGCTCATCTTTTACTCATACAACTAAACTAAAGTAGCCACACCCGTCTGTTACGATATCGCTTCTATCTTTATACATTGCGCCGCGAAACTCCACAACTGTATCCACATTGTCATTTTAAACCAGCAATGTGTTGCAAATCCCGGCACGTGTCTTTTATCGCATTTTCGCAACAGACCTCCCACGTCATGTAGGTAATGATTATTCTAGTCTGCTAAAGAAAATGCGAGTAAATTACTTTTCATCTGTTTTTATTTACAATCTGTGACAAGATAGGGTTAGGTTGATAATGAAATCGGATATTTTTATACTTTATCAACAAGACTTTATTTTAATTTAGTTATTCGTTAGTATATGATATAGTTTTTCTAATAAGAACTAATAAACATGTAGGTATGTTTATATAGATTATAATGATAAAAATGTAACATTACAAAATGTATCATGTTGGTACTAGTAGCGCCATCTATGGGCTAAGCTGTAACTAAACGTAAATTAAAATGTATAATATTTTTATAGTTTCAGCATTACTATTTGGTACATTTTCGTGTGTTTATTTACAAAAGTAAGTAGCATATGTGTCCCCAATTAGCTTAATAACCTTTAAACAGTCCCAGCCTATTTTATAAGTGATATTGCAGTATACTATCTTGGCAGCTGTTAATTTGTAATGAAAATTGTAAGTAGGTAGGTATGTGTGCAACTGAAACTGAGTGAATGACGTGTACACTTATTTGATACTAGCTTCTGCCAGCGGCTTTACCTGTGTTTCTCTAATGAAAAGTAGCTTAAATGTTATTTCATAATTTAAATTACCACTATGTCAATTTCAAATCAGTGGTTTTCACGTGAAAGAGTAACAAATATCCATCCATATTAATTTAAGTGCAAACAATCGCTTTTATAACAATAATTTAAATAAAAACAAGTGAAAACTGGATACAGTGAGGACTGGATAACAATCCAGTTTTTACCAGTTACATAATAATTTAACTAAATATACTTAATTATCAATTAAGTAAGACTAGCGGTCGCCCGCAGCTACGCCCGCGTGGATGTCGATTTTACACATTGCTTCGCAAGATTTTTAAATTTAAAAATTTTTTTTTTTTTTTTTTGTAAATTTTCTACGTAGATACAAACAAACTTTCTCTGGACTTCCACGAATAATTCAAGACCAAAATTAACCAAATCGGTAAAGGCATTATTGAGTTGATACATTACCTACATCGAAAAGTGGCATTGATTTTTTATATAAGTACATGTGTAGGTATATTTATTGACTTTTAAACTCTATTTTCACAATTTACATATAAAAAAAACAAACATAGACTGTATCCCACCGATAACGGGAGGGTTCCAAGCAACCGATGGTCAGGGCTCCAGAGAAAGGAATCTAAATATTGGGGAAGTGTGTGTCATGAATATAAAATTACTTTTATTATGGATGTAGTATTAAATTACCAAGTTATCTGTTACTCTTTCACGTAAAACTTACTGAAGGGTTTAAATGATATTGGACACAGAGATAGATTAGGTATAGTCTGGAATAGTATAGGTTACATTAGCTGCCGAAGTCGTGATTTGATATTAATACTTACTAGCTACTAATTACTATCCCCTCCCGCGTATTAATAACAGGTAGATACTAGCTGGCCCGGCTAACTTCGTACCATCTGGTTTTTTATTTAGTTTTTTTCTGACCTTCCCTGTACATCCAGCAATATTTATTTATTTATTTATTGAGGACTTAATGCTAGAAGCATTTTCTGCCAGTCAACCTTTTGGTAGTGTAGAGATGTGTGGTAGGTGATATTCAGCAATTTAGGAAGTTACGTGAGGTGGAACTTCCTAAATTGCTGAATATCACCTATGAGGTGGGTGCAGTATTGCAAGACCACAATAAGCTATTTCGTCTTTCTCGAGTTTTAGCGAGACTAACGAACAGGAATTCATTTTTATAAATAATCTGTTTTCAATAATAAATGTCGGGAGACATGCTAAATTAAAATTTTAATTGAAAATAATGACTAACCTATTCGCGTGACAAAACTGAGAAAAGCTCAACTAGTTTCAAGTCACCACGGGACGCTTAAACAGGAGAAGCGTGCGCGTCGTAACATCGCGCGCTGTACGTTAATAGGTCGTTTTTCCACAAATGTACTTATGTAGTAAAAGGAATCTCGCGCAATGTATGTTATCTGGTTGTCGCTCCACCATTCCAGTTTCCTCCAGATTATTCTATTTATAGTGCATTGCGATCTTCATTTTAGATACGTTTATTACTCTAGCCACTGGAATTGTAGATGTGAATGTCGATAAAATAAATTGCTGACAACTGCAGGACGCACAAAATGCGGAAATATCAATTTTAAATTCAATTACTTATTATGTCATAAAAAGAGTTAATTGTGATTTGTAGGTGTAAACCTCAGATACTTGTATATTTATTCATTTGCATAGGAAGTACGTCTTTGAGTTGCATCCGTTATTTCCTCAAATAAATACGTAGGTACCTACCGAACTAGTTTAACGAAGTAAATAGAATTGGAAAGGGAAAAAAAATACAAAAAATGGGTGAAATAGTGTAAACTTCTCCACTTTTTAATGGATGTTATTATACCTTCCTCTTCACTCACTCTATAGATTAAAAAGAACCGCATCAAAATCAGTTACCTAGTTTTAAAGATTGAAGCATACATAGGGACGGAGAAAGCGACTTTGTTTTATAGGTACTGCGTAGTGACAATACTAATTGCTACTATAACAACAACTCTAACATTCGGAAGATGCTTACTAATTCTCTAATCTCTTTCTTCCTCCACCAGAACCATGGCTGTGGAAGGGGTAATGGTGACTTATAACTATTCAGATGACGGTGAATACGCAAATATCCTGACCGTGTCTGCGTCAGGCATCAGATTCTCCAAACGCTGGGTCCTCACACATGGCTCAATACTCTCCCCTCTAAAAGAAGCTAAGATAATCAAAAAGGCTAAAGGGAAACCGATACTAAACGACGAGTTCTACGCCGGTCTTCCAGAAATCCATGTGACATGTGAGAAAAAACAGTCCACAAATCCAAATTTGTATGAGAGTGTTGAGAAACTTAGCAGAGAGAGGAACTCGCAGCAAGGAGACTTGGAACATAGCAGCTACTTGATCAGAGTGCTTACTGGGAGGTAGGTTGTTGATAAACTTATACTTTACTAGCTACTCCCGCGCGGTTTCACCCGCTGCTCCGCTCCAATTAATCGTAGCGTGATGTTTTATAGCCTATAGCACTTAGGAATATTGTAGCTATCTATCAGTGAAAGAATTTTGGAAATCCGATCCGCGGTTCCAAAGATTGCCCCCTGCATACAAACTTACAAATTTTACTTCTTTATAATATTAGTATAGATAGGATTCACTTAATTGAAATCCAGCATTATGTTTCGCCGCGTGAGTGTGACACCCGGAGGCTCAAAACCTTTTTGTGTATATTTTTAAGAGCGTTTACGCGGCTGGTTTTTTCATACAATCTTTCAAACCAAAAACACCACGGATGCCACTGAATCGATTGAAATTAAACTTGGTATTCATACGCTATGTACCAACATCTAAACACTTGAGTAGTTTTCAAAATATCGAATAATCGAGCGATTATTTTCCATTTGCTGTCTCTCTATACTGTATTGTTACTTATGAGAACCAACTGAGTTTCATAAAAATTAGCTCAATAGTTTCCATTATTTAGACTTGAAAGGTTTGTATAAAAAGCTGTACGACGTATACGTTCTCAAAACAATTAGAGTGGCTTTAGTCTGCTTTAGTCAAAAAAAGAAACTCAACAGAAGAACGATAGTATAAGTCTCGAAGTCTCAAGTTGTATTTAGCTTGGTTCTCATTTTTATTTATGACAAAAAAGTCTTATTAAAGGATTATATTTTAAATTTTCAGGATATGCCACGTATGGCAGTGTCCTATCCTGGATAGATGCGCTAACGACATTCTCTATAGTTGGACCATCGGCCACAAGGATGGAGATATCGACAGTCAGACGAAACTCGGCACCGCACTGCTCTCTGTATTCGTTCTCATCGACTTGGAAAGCGATAAACGAGGTTAGTAACGTCTATGATATAGGCAAACTGGAAGTTCAGCACTTGCTGACCTAGATTACTAATATTTCCGTACAGTATTAATTCGACTGGTGCTATTTTACCAATAGTGTAGGATGGCCAGTAGTTGCCACCACTTCACTATAGCACTGGAGTAGTAGTCATTGAGTAATTTACAACCCAAGCCTCCTCTCGCCCTCCAGCAGATGTTGAAGAGTTTGTACTTCAGTTTTTCCAAACAGCTCAAATAAACAGCTTGTGACATTCGTTTCAATACATAAAAACTTGTCTTTAAGCAGATCCTTTATTAATATTTATCAAAATTATCTAACAAAACTTTTCATTGGACCTCTCTTCATCTCGCTCTAACACACCTTTTTCTTCTTCTTCTTCTTCTTCTTTTTCTTCTTTTTGGCCCCTCCTTCTTCCTCGTCATCATCATCTAAGTCAAAGTCATCGTCGCAAGTGTGTCGCATTTCTGCAAAACACAGAATATTTTTAGTCTTCTCTCTCAAGTAATTTTATTATTAAAATAGGACAATCGCGAACATTATACATTAAATATTGAATAGAATTATATTCCAAAACGCTCACTCTAAGAGATTTAAAATTATTACAAATTTATTGTGATATCACCCATCGCGTCAGACCGTATGTCCGAGTAGTTTTTGCAACACAACGCTGTTACGCTGTAATGGGTACGCCTACGAAATTGTGTAAACTTAAGCCACGCCTACTGCGAGATGCCGTCAATAGGTACTGGAAAATCATAGTGCACAGTTCTTGTATCCTCCACTTTGTATTTGCTCCGTGGATAGAGAGTAAGCTCACTACCTGCCAAACTGGCAATACGCAACATGTCGCGAGTTGGATGCCCGCACAATTCAACTCTGTGAGATTCACAAATTGTTGATGCGGGTCTGTTAATGTGTTTGAACATCTATGTGTGAAAACGCACCCACAGCGCGAGGGAAACTACAAAAATACTACTAGGTATTACTTTAAACAAATGCATAAATTCAATTACCGTCACGGGGATCTGGGATGATCGTCCAATCGTGTCGCCACTCGTTGACCAGGTTCATGTGGTTGGGTAAGGCCCGGAATAATGTGAAATCACTATCGACGGACTCCTTCTTTACTACCCCTGCGATACCGAGGGCTAGTGCCCCAGGAACCAGCCCGTGTTTGGAGCGAAGGTACCAGGCAACTAGAGGTCCGCACGCTACGCCTCCTAGATCACCAAAATTTCATTAATCACATTTATTAAAGCTCCACACCAACTTAATAGCAAAAATAGTATTTTCTATAGGTACTAACATTATAAAGAGGTAAAATTTGTAAGATTGTATGTAGTGGGTAATCTTTGGAACCGCTGGTCAGATTGCGAAAATTCTTACACTGATAGATGATATGTAGCTACAATTTTCCTAAGTGCTATAGGCTATGGAGCCGAGCAGCGAAAACCGCGCGATACTTGCTAGTATTTGATAAAACAAACAATTGTTTTATATCTCAGTTTCTAAAATTTGAATTTGACGTTCCGGACAAAACTTACCAATAAAATAATTGAGTGGATCATCGGCATCTCTCGCGCGCAGCATTCCGTTGGCGACGACGGCGAAAGTAGCTCCCATAAGGCCAAGGGGGACGACGTGGCGTGCATACCTGTAAAACGCATAAGAAAAAATCTGATACATTTTAGGTAATTGCTTTTTATCCGAGTGTCCTACCTTATTTTGATTTAAAAGTAGACATACCAACATATGATCTGAAATGATAAACTATCAGATATTTATATGTAACACTAGCTACTCTTGCGCCGTTTGACCCACTGCTCGACTCCATTTAATCGCAGCGTGATGTTTATAGCCTATAGCACTCAGGAATATTGTAGCTATCTATCGGTGAAAGAATTTTGGAAATCCGACCAGCGGTTCCAAAGATTACCCCCTACATACAAACTTACAGATTTTACCTCTTTATAATATTAGTATAGATGTAATTTCTATAAAATACTATGCTTGAGGTTAGTTCGTAGTGTGTAAAATCGGTATAGTAATATTTACTGGATATTCTTTGCCAATAGCTTCACTAAGAGGACTGACCGATACACCTACACTATATCTTTAAATTTTTGTTTAACGGTCAAAAGTGCATGTAGCGGTGTAATTAAAATAAATGATTTTTGACTTTTTGACAAGGGCACGGACCCCGAGTCCGCTGAAATTATGAATCATCAAAAAAAAAGAGAAACTAGATATGGTTATTATTACTAAGTAATATTTATGAGATGATGAAAGTTGCACAAACTTACCGCATCATTATGGGGGACAAACCAACGACATGGGAATACATGAGCACATCATAAGTGCCCGCAATGAGGCCAGCGACGATGCCATAGCGACTGGCAACCATGATCTGGTGGAAATGGATGGAAAACGTTAATTTATTTACTAGGTGTGGGAGAACCATGCTTCGGCACAAAAGGACCGGTGTCAAACAACACTTTGTTGTGTTTCGCCGTGTGAGTGAGGTTACTGGAACACACCTACCCCTCCCCATCCTCAAATCCATGATCCTGAAATTCCTAATAACCCAGAAGAGGTCAGCAACGCCCTTGTAGTAACTCCTTTGGTATTGCGAGTGTCTTTGGGCGGCGGTGATTGAGAAATTATCAGGTAATCCCTAAAGGAAAGCATATTCGTTTGGGCACCTTTTTGTCAACGTCGCACCCATCAGGCGTGTCGTAATATCTAGAATAATTGCGTGAATCACATTTTGGTTTATCATCTTCTTCTTCCTTTTTCTTACTCATTAGGTACTAAAATAAAAAAAACCGAATTTTAACCGATCGTCATAAAAATGACGTTTGCAATATGTCACATGATATTGAAAACTCTCTGGATTTTTTTAAAATAAAATAAAAAATGACAGCAAAGAGGTGATAATACTGTCGTTTGAACAACTGAATGTAAGGGATGGTTCATACGTTCATACATACATTAACAGTTTACGCGGGAAGTAACGGGGGAGGAGGGAGGGTGTTAGGGATTTAGTCAGTAAGAGTATTCCCCTTGCCTCAAGCTGGATGAGGAGAGAAGTATTGCATTGGATGATTTTCGCCTGACAAAAAAAGGGTTCAACAAATACATACCTGCGTAAGCATTCAGGCGCGCGTGGTCCCCGTCACTTTCGCTTTATCTAAATACATCAATTACTTCTCTTCACTATGCGTCAACCGAGGTTTGTCTTAATTTGGCGTCTTTAAACTGGCCCCAAACCTAGACTTTCTCGTGCTGATCGACATTTAAAGTATAGAACATAAAGTTCTCTGAGTTCTTAATCCCGAGTGAAGTGATAATTTCTGGCAGGACACACAGTTTTAAGTTGGAATTCGTGTGCCGACCGCATAACCAGCAAAAAAGGCGTCCCCTTTTTTGCTGTTTAATCGGTCTATCGATTGCTTAAGTAATACGTCTGCTCATTTTCTGCCTTATCACATCATAAGCCTGTAAGTGCCCGCTACTAAGCGGAGATGGTTTGAATATTAACCACCACGCTTACTCAAGACGGATTGGCGATTTCAATTTTCATTTTATGGTGTACCGCCTTATACCCTGAACAAAATACATTTAAAAAATGTATCACACCTTTTTTCTGTAGCCCAAATCAATGTATATTCTCGGTTTTCATTGCAGGAATTGAAAGTTTGAGGCCATTGTCATATTTACTGGATGCAGTCCGCCCCCCCACACAGAGGGGATCTATCTTGGAAGTACACTCAACGCCCTTCGGATGTGAGGTAACTAACGGCTTAGTCATTAAATGTTTATTTCGATCACCTGATGTTAAGCAGTTGTCAGTGTCTATGGGTAGCGCCGAAGCGCCCATAGACACTCAAAGCAGTCATAAGTTTGTTGCCTGCCTTTTGTGTGTTGCTAAAGATTTGAGGATTTAGGAAGGAAAGGGGAAGCATTGTGCCTCTGATAACCTACCAAGGAAACTGTATTCTATGAGGCCGTCGGATCACTAAAACAGGCCCAAAGATGGCCCATTCGTGCCGAAGTGTACGCCCTCCGCACAGAACCGAAGTAAGAAATGTGTGGTTTTTATTCAGTAAGGCTGTGAAACCTTCTAAAGAATTCAATTAATAATTACTCATCCTTCTAAAAACAAGTAATCACGTGGTGACCTTGTATTGCAGGTGTTCCTGAATGCAGTGACTAGAGGGTCAATATGTGGCGTGGTGGGCAAGAGACCGTCCCTGCTGATGACTGACGCGGCCACTGCTCTAGGATCCGAAGGTGGACCCGTCTTCACTGAGGGACCTACGTGAGTATCACAACCCTATACAATCCGCGGACTTCAAACATCTTCCGTTTGTCTATCATGTACGTATTATATGTATTTGATGAGGAATTGAACCAGTTCCAAGTCACGCTAGGAGGTTGTAATTATGAGCAGCATTGCATGACACACAATGCAGTGAACGTCGCGCAGCGAAAATTGAGATTTATTTTAATATATCTAACGAAGTAATACCAAGTATATAAACAATTTCTTATAGAGAATGTGGTTAAGAAAGTGCTGTACATCAGTTTTTGTAAAAAGGAGTCCCATTTCCAAACCAGAAATTCCCAAACAGATAATGATAATAGCAGAGCAAAGTTCAGTAGAAACAGATCTTGACCTTGATCCTTATTTGCGTCACTTTAGTAAAATTGACCTTGGACAGTTGGCAGGAAAACTCCCGTGCCCTTTCTCTAGATTGTTTGCCTCGCACCAACACTACGAATTGAACTGTCGCCTTCGGTATATCTGAACCGATAGATACTACCTTGAAAAGATGGTACTTCTTATAATCCCTATAACGCACCTTTAGACCTACCATGTCGTTAAAGCGTGAATCTTTCGCGCGACAAAGAGGGATGGAGCTATACTCCTTTTATAGCTCCATCCCTCTTTCTTCTGTAGTGGTTTCTTCTTTCTTGGTAGGCCCTCTGTTCTTCTCCGGTATTACATCAGGTGATCTGTCAGATCTTTTGTCCCAAATTCTACAAAAACAGAGGCGCAGTTCCTTGATCGGTGTATTTTATTTCAGTAAGGAGTTGGTAGGCATGGTGGTGTGCAGTGTGTCGTGGTGCCGCGGGGAGTGGGTGGGGCTGAGCCTGGTGGCGCCGCTCACGTCGGTGCTGTCTGCCAAGCTCAGGGTCGCCGTGCCGCAGCCCGCTAAGCCACTCGCCCCACACCCTCTGCAAGATGTGCTCAGTAAGTCGCCAACTAAACATACTAATATTTTATTACTATTCATTTTAAACAATGATTTACCGAGGAAACGGAAAGTATTTGGTTTTTTGACACGCTGGACTTCAGTGCTTCGGTTGTTTTGGTTCCATTCTTGTATCTACTGCAGATCCAAGCACCCCGGCCAGATCCAGATGTCATTGGATGATATTCCCCAATAAAAAAAAGGTTTTACATATTATGCTGCAATCTATGAATTCAAGCAAAGCCTTTTAAAATGATCTTATTCTACAATTGCTTATCAAAGTTCAATTGATTTGATAGCAATCAAGGATCAAGTATGTTTTTATTGTGAAGAAAACCTTGAGCATTTGATGACAAGGAAACTTTAATTAATTCAGACGAGGAACTACTCGTATGTAGTATTATAAAATCTAATCCTCATAATAGATTATATTTTCACATGGTCACATCTCTACGGCCCTTATAGTTAAAAAACCTCATTTGTTTTCCTGCAACTGCAACTCCGGCTGATCGTGAGGTTACGACAGCATACATTATGACTATGCCTTCTCCAGAATGTTCCAAAATCCTAATTAAGGGCAGATTTTTAAATATTCAGATAAATGTTATCTGAGAAATAAAATTGTTGCTGTCACTGTCTTATATAAACATTCTGACGCGACAGCAATATAATTTATAATTCCCCAGTTAACTTTTATCTAACCATTGAAAAATCAGCTCTAAATGAAATAAATGGTCTGATTGTAAGTATTGTAATGTTACAGATCAGATAGATGCGTGTACAGTGCTAGTACGGTGTGGACACGCGTGGGGGGCGGGCGTGTATCTGGGAGGGGGGTACGTCGTCACCTGCGCACACGTCGTCAAATCTGTAAGACACTTTTTCTATACTAATATTATAAAGAGGTAAGTTTGAATGTTTGTAAGTTTGTATGTAGAGGGTAATCTTTGGAACCGCTGGTCGGATTTCCAAAATTCTTTCACTGATAGATAGCTACAATATTCCTGAGTTCTATAGGCTATAAAACATCAAGCTGCGATCTGTAGGAGTTGAGCAGCGGGGGAAACCGCGCGAGTGTAGCTAGTTATCGAATAAACGGATCCCTTGTAACCAATGGTAAACTTCCAGCAACGGCCGTGGACATCCGACACACCAGTGAAAGCATAAGGCGCCTTGCCGACCCTTTTCTTAAAGGTTTGAAGGTCGTATTTAGAAATACCACAGTTCTTTCCTCAGTTTTTTGCGTGCTAAAGGACATCTGTTTAGTTTTCTCCATACTCGTATGACCAAATACCTTAATGAATAAGACCATAACACACCAGGGCAAAGTTTAAAAAAATGTTTTTCCATTCCAGTACCAAAATCACAAGCTTTCCGTGTATTGTCGGGGTGTGAGCGAGACAGCGATAGTGCGGTATAAGACGCCAGATAAGAAAGCGTATGACCTCGCACTGTTGTTCACTAATCCGGACAGAATGAGTCATATGAGTCCTGCAGTCCTGTCCACTGTACCGGCTGAAAAAGGCAAGTTTTATCAAACAGTTTTTTTAGATTTTCTCCTGTTCTAAAAAAACGTCGTTGTCGTTTTTGCGTTTACCAACATACAATATCACAAACACATCACACCCGGACCAGAACCACAAACTTCAGTAAGAGGCGCGTCTCCAACACCTTTGAGTCATTGATTTGGGACTCCTGTTAAACTTGCCGATAGTCGACATCCTTTTCAAATAGTTTATCTGTACTATTTAACTAGCTTCTGCCAGCGGCATGGTATGTGAGTCTCCAAATTTTTGGGGGTCAGAGGCTTAAAGATTGGAGATATTGAATATGGGAATTAAGTTTTGGGTCCCCACTAATCAGACTCACACCGACCCAATCCAAATGTTGTTTGGTCGAGCCAACGATTCATACTGAAGCATGGTTCTCCCACCCTTATCCATCTTAATTAAGCGAAAATGACGATAAATTACAGGAGAATCAGTACTAGCAGCGGGTTTCCCTTACTTCAATGAGTTTGATCTAACAAACTTGATCCCGACCATCACGTCAGGCCACGTGAACACAGTGTCGCCCTCTATGATACAAACCTCATGTTGCGTGCAATCCGGCTTCAGTGGAGGACCAATATTCAGAATCACCAGGTACGTTGGTCAATTTGTTGTAGGTCACAGTTCTCGTGGTGGCCCAGAGGTTATCCGCTTCTCTTTCATGAGTTTGAGTTTCATGGGTTCCAAACCTGGCAAGAACCAATATAACTTATTGCGAGATATATGTAGTTTCTATGATTATTGAGACACCACTGCCATATGGAAAAGGAAAGCATCGTGGGGAAACTCGGACTTAAAATATTTAATTAAAAGTTTGAAATCGACAACCCACCTTGAGCAAGCGTGGTGAATAGTACTTAACCGTCTCCATGTGATTTCCCCCCCTCAAAAAAGCCAACTCTTCTACTATCAACGTAATCTTTGTTAGTGATAGATTTAACGTCTATTTTTATTTTTCTTACCTGCATGTCTGTGCATGAAGTATAAAGGAATTTTCAAATATGTGTAATAATGTATTTTGTAGGCCGAAGAACCGCGTGGAGGTGTTGGGTATCATCGCCATCAACGTCACGAGCGAGGGTGGTGCCTGCTTCCCCTACGTGAACATGGCGGTACCCGCCCCAGTCTTTAGCCATGCAATCGCCAACTACATCCTAAATAAAGGTACTTTCTATAATGCATCCTACTAAAACCGAGTGACTATTATTAGCGAGGAATCGCATTATAGATATCCTCTCCCCTCCCCCTCCATATTGAAATGCAGTCATGATTAACGATCCAAAGAAACATTAACATTTTTCCACACTAGCCGAATGTCTAAGTATTTTAATATACAGATAACTTCCCTACCACCAATCAGATCAATCTAAGAACGCAAAGACAAAACACTTTGTCAATCATACTTTGTCTATTGACGGGCAGTTGAAGTTATTGTGCTAAGGCAGTTAAGTATTGTAAGAGTGTACTCAGGATGAAGTTGAGTTCTACTGTCTTTTTGGGGCATTAAATTGAGAAAACTCTTCGTTAGGTAGTGGTAGTCTGCAGGGTAGTGATAACCAGAACAGATTCAGCATCCCTCAGGATTTTTCAATTATTATTTTCATGACAGTAATGTCGGAATAAGAAAAGATAGCAGTGTTGTTAAAATTGAAATTGTAGAATCATTTATGATAAGTAAATAAAAAATAATATGGCCCCAGGCCCGAACCCTGGGGAACCCCTAAACATAGCAACAGTCTAAAGCATTATCACTTAAAAAATACCCCACCTTGACCCTCTAAATTGTTCTTCTTGGATAACCATGAAGCAGTCATGCAAAACGATATCCATTGTTAAAATATTTTTTAAATTTACGTAAACGTGAACAGAGATAGTGTCAAACGCCTTTTCCAAGACCAAGAATACTGTAACCTGTTAATCTTTATAGCCCTTGTTAGGTAGAATGTTGCAAGGTAACTTCTGAAAGTGTTGTACTGGTGATATATACCTTTTAGTCTGTGCTTTGTCACTCGATTTTTTTGTGAAGAAATTATATTGTTGCTTTCTTTTTTTCTATGGACTACAGGGAAAATCCTCTAATTGTTTATTTTTTATTGAAAATAACGACTCATTTAATTGATAAAAGCTCTCTATAAAAACAATTTATTTTACAGATGAATCTAACCTCGCTGGTATCGAAAACAATAAAGAAATGATTCAAGCTCAGTGGAGATTAATGCCGTATAGGTCCAAAATATGATCTCCACAAGAACACTTCAATATGACATGGTATCAACTAGGAATTCCTATATCATGTCGGTGACGGAGGATTTAACAAATACAGTATAATTTTTATGGAATTATTTGTGATACTATGAAACTACAGCGTGATTGTCAAACAGCTTGTACACCGATAAATTTTGATCGTTTTAATCCCGTTGTGGGTCGATCCAGTAGAAACACATACATAAGAAAATAAAATACCTATTTTTCAAAACTTGTATTGATAGTATAAATTGCTTTAAGAAAACGTCAACTGAGCGAGTCTAATGACCTCTAGATAGTATTTGGCGTTGCGTACAAACTACCTAATTACTACCACAAATTAATACGAATACATCCCCTCCCACAATTCCTATATTTATCTCCAAATCCCTTATCCCCCAAAGGTCGGCAACGCACATACGTAACTCCTCTGTTGTTGCGGGTGCCCATGGGCGGCGCTGATTGCTTACCATCAGGTAATCAATCTGCTTGTTTGATGTGGTTTGACGTCCTATCACATCAAAAAATAAGAAAAGTAAACTGTTTTTTTTATTATTATTTTTTAACAAGTCGATATTTAATGTTCTCGTTGGACCCTCCACGGGATTCAAACAATCAAAATATTGCGGTGTATAGCTGGGTAGCTGGGTATGACTACCAATAAATATTGTTTTTTTTATAATCTTGACCCCAGATTTACCTTATGTCGGTATCGTGGGTGCGTTTATAAGCAGCTCAAAAAATTAATTTAATACTTGCACTGTGTTTGTGATAATATCACTTTATGTAGCATTTATCGAGTAAGAAAACCATGTCCAAATATAAGTTATACAAACTTATTTATTACCTAACCTAAAAGATTTTTTTCTTAAATAGGTAAAAATAATCTAGAATGATTTTTTTACATACTTAGATAAGTATAATATTTAAATGAATACATTCGGTAACTATGAACATGTATATTTATAGTTAATTAAGTAAATAATCAGTTATAGATATTTTTGATAGAAAACTTTATGGTGTAAAGTATATTACATATTATCAGAGAACCAAGTCTATTCTCTCTCATGTAAATATTTATAATTAGCAAATTTTTATACCAACTAATAATACTTAGGATTTATATTATTTGTTTGTTAGTCAAAATTCAATAAATAAAGAAATTTTGAAAGATTTCTGTAGAATCCAGAATGGTGTATGCAAATGTTTTTAATTATTTAGGATTTCTTTACAAATAAGCACTTCTTTTAACCCTATTTTTTGAGGGGGAGTATGCCAAAACGATAATGCCTTATGGGGTCCACGGCTTACCAACTAGTCAATTTCTAAACTTTTATCCAAATGTTAAAAACGATACTTTTCTATGAAATTTGTATGAACCACTGAGTTATGACGTCATAGTATTTTTGAGTCAAATAGCTTACTTATTTCTTAAAAAATAGCTAAAAAAATATCAAATATCGAAATTGACGATAGTGTATCGACAAATCGATGTATAAAACAATAGTAATTTTTCAATATTTTATTGTATTTTAACGTCGAATTAATTTATTTTTGACTTAGCTAACTACCTAATTTAGAAATGTTCTGGTCGTTTCTCTAGCCCGTGCCGGGCAAGGCCGCGGGCACACACTACTCATAAATAAGAGCGGGACTCTTAAACCAGTATATTTAAACTCGATTAGTTCTTGACGTTATAATTGTAAATTAATTTGGTACCTATGTCTAAATATAGTTATAATACAAAAACTAATCTTTTCCAAGAGGTCAAGACTGATTGGTTTTGGTAGCAATTTTACTATAAGAATGACAACAAGGTATAGAAATTAAAGGTCAATTTAATCCGTTAATATAAATAAGGAAAAAATATTTGACATGTATCTTTTATTTTGTCGTACAAAACAATACTTAGATAGAAAGGAATTAAAATTTAGAAGCGTGAGCCAGCTGATTCTCACGATTATTTAAAATCAATGGGCTTGCAAGAAAATAAAAAATACGTGTCTAAATTGTTTTAAATTACCTAATCAACATATAATGTAGTTGTTATCTGAATTGATATTATATTTTTATTTATTTTAATATTACCTATGTAATTATGTATTGGATTTTTTTATTGAAATAAAATTAAATGTTTTCTTAATCTACTGTTTTGTTTCATTATTTTCACTTGCAACGTTGTGTGTTTGCTTAGTCCGAATATCACATATTATACTTAAAGAGATGGGGGCTCCCTCCACTAGCCTAATATGGGGGGAAGTGTCTATCTCTTTAAAACTCCCCATCATCCAAACTAATATTATAAATGCGAAAAGAATCTTGTGTCTGTCTTTTTTTCACGCCTAAACTACTGAACCGATTTCTGTGAAATGGGGTACAGACATAGTTTGGAACTCCAGAAAGGACATAGGATAGCGCGAATGGAGTCGATGGCAAAACCTAGTTCATTCATTAGTAAGAAGCTAAAACTCAATATGCGTACTAAATGTGAACTCTTTATGTGTTTGTAGTACGATGCTCATATGTTTGTAGTTGCGGAGGCGATGGTACCGCCATTTTTTGAACGGAAAAAAGCATCAAATGTTTTATCTGGTCCTGGTTGGGATGAAAGAGAGGCATACTGTCTAAAAACCACCTCATTCCTGCTCCCGCTCCAGGGTGAGGCCGCGGTACATTATTTCGCTTGACCCTCAACCCTGGGGACGGCCTGCTGCGGTAGTGTTCCACGACGTGTGTACGACATATGTACATGTCACGTCACGTCATTCCGCATAGAGGCATCAGAGTATTCAGAGTCACACCACTTAGCTTTAATATCATTAGTGCTCCTATGGTAACCGACGCAGGAAATGATGGAAGTAAGCCCAATAATGCACCGCGGGTCCAGTCCAAACCCTGAATAGGAACAGGCTTCTTATTGGCACTTCCTTTCCTCCCGCTCTTGCCCTGAGCAAGAGAAAAAACTGCTTAAGCTTTTCTTTTTGATAAATCCACATCAAAAAAGAAAAGCTTAGTTTCGATATGACAGCTAAATAATAACAGGGATAGATATTAAAAGTACGTTGCCTGCCAAGAATTTGCCTTAAGGGGAATCTCTTGGTGCCTGGGATCGATCGACGATCTCTTGTCACCGTACGGTGCGTAGCGTTCCGCCAATGATTTTTCTTTTTTTTTATTGATTATAGGTTCGTGCTTGACCGCTATCTCACCTGATGGAAAGCGACGATGCGGTCGACGATGGAGCGCGCTTACCTAGAAGTAACCTATTCACTCTTGACTAGATACCCGGATTGTAGCTATCAGGAAACGCCGACTCCGGCAAGGAATTCCACTCCTTGGCTGTACGCATAGTGAATGTGCTCCCAAAACGTTTTGTACGTATATGTGGGACATCCACCATGTACCGGTGGCGCAATGCCGTACGTCTGTCCAACGCACATTCCCCGAAATGCAACCGGTAGAAAACCGACAGGCTAGCAACTCGGCGTCGATGATTCAAAAAGTCAATAGAATACCACAGACAGGGCCCTACAATAGCCGATTTTCAGCTGGGGTTGTGGGGCAAGCGCAATAACGTACCCAGGGCGAGGCGCCCCGGAGCAGGAGAAGGAACGGGGAAGTTTTAAGTCGGTAAGTGTCTGACACTCACACATAAGCCATTTGATAACCATCCTCTCACATAAAAGAAAGCATAAATGGAATTATTATAAAAGTGTCATTACAAATCCACCGCGAGCGAAGCTCGTGCAACAGCTAATAAAACGATTCTTTTAAAATTGACTGCACGGTTGGCGCGGTGGCTGGCCAACTGGCAGCCACTCACGTGTCTTTGGTTCGATTCCCGCACGGAACAACTCTTTGTGTGATCCGCAAATTGTTGATTCGGGTCTGGATGTGATGTGTATGTGAAATTGTATGTTTGTAAATGCACCCACAACACGCGAGAAAATCCTACTGAGGGGCAACATGTTCTAAAAAAAATATTAAGTCCTTAATTTATATACTTACAATCCATCTACTGGTAGTTAGTGTTCAATACCACCCACAGCAAAAGAGGAATTCCAGGCGTTTAAGTACCTACACACCTACGCAACTTGGTGACCATTGCCAGCAGATTTTTTAGCAAGAAGTTTCAATTTCAACCTTAGATTAACTACTTGAAAAAAATCAAATGAATTTGAAATTTGTCATAACGTCATCTTGTCATCTTTAATTTTGTAACACATAGAAGCCAGAAGGAGAAAATTTTATTTTTATTTTGTTGTGTTTATGAAGTATATTGGGTATTTTAGCAAAACGTGTTTTGTGAAAATTCTAAATGGCGCGTAAACAACAAGTTTCTATCCAAGAGACCGTCGACAACAATGAAGACTTCGCAAACTACCTGGAAACTCATTACGATCAGCTGATATGTTAGTATCCTAATTCCCCTAAAACTTTCCTCAGAGAGGACTTTAGCCTCAGATACAAGTTCCCCTCCTGGTTCATGACAGTTTCTCGGCAGCTAGTGCCATGCTGAGCACGAAGTTCAGTTATGCCGAAATGTATGTGTTACAAATTCTTTAAATTAATAAATGCCAAAAATCGATCCGGGGAAATTGGCCGATGATATTAATACTCGTAAAAACTGTAAGCTAAACTGCAGAATGACTTGAACAGATGTCATACGCCCGCTTCTAAGGTATTCATGAGCATTGTTAGGTAGTGGTCATTCATTCTCCAAGTGAGAAGAGCATTTACACAGCTGTGGCATGGTTACATGCTGATGGTGACGACGAATTACTTACAATAAAACGTTTCTAAACGTGGAAAAAGCGTGCTATATCACCAGCGGCCAGGTTCGACAGTACCTAGTGATATTTTCTCCCCTTTATCCCCAAACGGCAGAACGCACTCGTGAGTCCTCTGGTGTTGCAGGTGTCCATGGGCGGCACAGATTGCTTTCCCTATCATAACTATCTTTTGGGTTGCTTCCTATACCCATAAAAATGGCCATACATTTAACCTTCCACAGGTATGGAGGTGTACTCAGACTTCTGTGGCCCTTGCCTGGCAACAGGCAACGCCATCAGGAAGGGCAAGTTGGAAATAGGGCAAGACCGCATTGCTATGGTCAAGGTAACAGAGAATTTAATATTTTTTTGCGGAGCAAGAGGAATTGGGAACCCCTCTCCTCTTTCTCTGAAGTAATTAGGCTCGTAAAGAAGGAGGAGCGTGCGTGAGCGTTCGTAAGCGCGTGTCTGCAGAAATCGAACAAGGAGAGAGAGAGACTGAAGCTATAGACCCGAACGTGCGGCGCGTAGCGTTCCGCGCGAGCCTCAAAGACTCTTTAGACCACCACAGATGAGGTCCAACAAGTCCGATGCTTAGTCGAGGGTTTGCGGGTGTAGCAATAATGTACCGCAAACCCGGCTTCGAGAAAGAACGGGGTGGTTGTTAGTTAGTAATGGTCTGACACTCCTTCTCGCTACTCCCAGAGCGGGAAAAGACATGATAGAAAAAGCCATGTTTTGTGTAGGGGAGACATCCTTCAACCTGGGTGGGGCGGAAGAGGGTGCCTGACTAGTTTACGGAATGACACAAATCGTGTGTTTGCCAAGTATAAAAATAAAATAGGGTTATACGGAAACAGTAGCAGAAAATGCAGGAAAAAATTGTTTGTATACAAGTAGTACAAGTGGCAGATCCGCACGTCGTCATAATACCTGTTGCTGCCTCTTGTTCCAGTGTTGTGCAGATAATATAGACGCGCTGGAAAGATTCAAGGATCACAGTGAACCAGTGTTCCTCTTCATTGTGGTATGTTTGTCTGACTTATTATTAGATACTTCAACATTTATATCTAACTAGGTACGGAGTTAATTCAAAATTTCTATACGTTCTATCGTTTCGTTCGGCGTGGTGTTCAGGAGGTTAAGGCGCTTTTCATACATTCGGGAGTGGGTTCGAAACCTGGCAAGTACGCCGATGTGACTTTCTATGTATATTTAAACACCACTGAGTCCACTGACATACGGTGGAGGAAAACATCGTGAGGACTGCAATTATCATTTCTAATAATAAGTTTCAATTCGCCAATCTGCCTTGAGCAAGCGTGATGGTTAACGCTCAAACATATCTGTGTAAGGAGAGGCTTTTGCTGAGCAATGGGCACTTATGGCTAATGATGATGTTGATGATGATTTTCGTTTCGCGACTTGTTAAAATTAGAGTTAGACTGATCGTATTTTGAATAAGATGATTTGTTGTACTCATTTAGCCTATCGGTAATAGATGAAAAAAGACGTTAAATTTTACATTTTTCTCACAGCGTGGAAAGCTTACACGTGCAATGTATGGACCCAATGGTATAGACCTCTGTCGCATAATAGAAGAAGAGCTGATGGTTTTAGAAAAAGAAGCTCAAGGCATCGTGTTGGAAAGGCCGACTTACGAGATCAATGAAATGCTTCCTGAAGAAGCGGTAGGATATCGTCTGCCTTTACCGCATATTGGCTTCATTACGGCCGCAAACATAAAACCACAGTATTTTCTTCAATAAATTTATTACTTAATACGTCATGGTTGTTAGTTCTTCAAATAATAATTTAATTAATAAAGGTGAGGGCGCTTCAATTACTTTATTGTTTTCATTCATTCTTGATATTAGATGTTAACGTCATTGTTTTCGTCATTGTGAGATATATAAGTTTTCATAATTGTTGGAAGAAAGTTCTTGAAAGAAAACCAGAACCTTGTAGAACGCAAATGTAATGCCTGGCGCACTTCTGTCTGTTAGAAGTTCGCCAGGCATTTCTTTAAGAGCATTAAATTTGAGTCCTACAAGGATTTTCCCTGTCATCACTACAGTATTATAAAAACTGATTGGCTTGTGCACTCATTTTTTTTCTCGCATGTGCTGCAACTTAGTTCTGTCCTTGAAAACATATGATATTGTGCTAAAAGATTCTTGGAACGACTGAAGTTCCTGGCTTTACTAATTAACGTTCGAAAAAGAAAAAGGCAAAAAGTATTCCAATTTGATCAACTTATACAAAAAATAAATACTTTTCTCTATTCCAACAAAGTTTTTTATCGTCCGATAAAAATGTTGGACGGTAAAATTGTGTATAGTGTAGTCTATAAGCCAATCTAAACGTAAGTCAAGCATTCAATTCAAGGTAGGTACATTTTAACGCCTTAGAAAATCTGACAGCATGAAAATACATAGCATTGTGATTTCCATATAAGATTAATTCAATTGTAGATCAGTATAAGTTACTTATGATGGAATTAATAAATAGTTTTTACCAAGTTGGTTTGGTAGGATCACGTGATGGAATCCACCATTTAATAAATATTGGTCATTTTAGACAAGGATGTGTTGAGCACATTATTGATGATTTACTAGACGTTATCTTAACTAGATATCTTGCAGGCAAAAATAGAAGAAAATCTTAAATTGGAAGAGGAGTATCGTGAAGCAGCTGAGAGGCTCCGAGTATTAACGTTAGCCGCTCGTAAGAAGCGGGTCAACGAACGACTGGCCCAGAGCATAAAACGGCTAAACTTCATTATGTTTTGGCCTCACTGCCATCAAGCGCATTATGACTTGTACGAAAAATGGGACATGATTAGTGAGTACCCTGCTAAAAAAACACGCTTTTAACATGTTAAGCGCCATAGGGGTCACCGGTGACCTCCGTAAGCGGAGGATTTGCCTTCAACAGTTTTCTGCCGGGAGTCAAAGCCGTATTCCATCGTCATCAGAAGAAATAGTCTAGTATTTAATCATCAAAACATTTTTTATATGGTAAACGTTGGTTAAATGGATTACCAGATGTTAAGCAATCAGCGCCGTCCATGGACACCCGTAACAACAGACGAGTTATGAGTGCGTTGCCGACGTTTTGGGTATTAGGGATTTGGAGATTTAGGGATTGGAGAAGGATTGGGGCTCCGGTAACCTCACTTACACGGCGAAACTCAACGCTTTGGTTGTTTCACGCCGGTTTATGTAAAGCCGTGGTATTACTCCGGTCGAGCCGACCCATTCGTGCCTAATCATGGCTCTCCCACAATTGAACTTTTTAAGCTTTTAATCAAATACCCTCGTCATCAGAGGAAATGGGCATATCTAATCAATTTAATCATCAAAACATGGTCAACAGTAAAGTCGTTGACTGCCGACAATAACTGTTTAGGGCAAATCCTCCGCTAGCGCTACCCACATGGTATCCCCCAAGGCGTTCAACATACTAACCTAACCAATGTTTATACATAATAATTGCCAAACCGGAAGTATGTGCAATATAATTCACTCTAAGTTCTTTATTGATAACTAGCTAATGTCACGCGTTTCACTCGCTGCTCGGCTTCATTTGATCGTAGCGTGATGTTTTATAGCCTATAGCACTCAGGAACATTGTAGCTATCTATCAATGAAAATTTTGGCAATCCGAGCATCGGTTCCAAAGATTACTCCCTACATACAAACTTACAAATTTTACCTCTTTATAATATTAGTATAGATATTCCCTCGACAGAAGCGATATTTAACAGTTGTTCGTTCTGGATACAGATATAACTGTGGCTGCCAAAGACACGTTCCAGTTGGACGAGAAATCTGCGCGGGAGGCACTGTACATGAGCGACGTGGACCCCAACGAAGCGTGTCTCCACGCCCTTCTGAACGGCAGAGTTCTGGTCGTGCTCTTCAAAATGTTTGAAACTGATTCCCGAGATTTTGTTAGTGAGTGCCAAGATTATTTGTTCCCAAACTCCTAAACATCATTTAACTTCGTTATTAAGTATAAACCATACTTCGTGTCATAGCTCTTTCTACAGCCATGTTCATAATATATACTTAAGATAGTTAGTAAACTTATCCATTTTCTACTGGTAAGGCTTTTTCTAGCGTTACCTAAACCTGCCTTGGTAAAGCGGTTTCGATTTTGTAATTAACTTCCAAGTATCATCGACCTTTCACCTTTTACAAATTGAAAAGTCAAAGTCAAAATCATTTATTTCAATTAGACCCATACAGGCACTTTTGAACGTCAACAATTATAGAAACTATGTATAGAAATAAAAACAGCACAAATCTATGATCAGGTCACATTTAGAAATGTAAATGGAGAAAACCCTCGATATTTATATTTCTTACTATTCATATTTCTTACTACTAAAAGAAGGTCTAACCCTTGGTTGTCGAGACTAATACTCGTGGATGGATTGAAAGGTGAAATTTTGCACTGGCATAGAATACATTGCGGAATAGGATATTATCTAGGCTACTTTTTATCAACATCCCACGCGGGCGAAGCCGCGGGCAGAAGCTCACTAAATTACCCTTAACAAATTTATGTAATCATGCCAGCAGTCTACCAGGAAAATGTTGATAATAAATATTTTTACAACTCAGAACTGATGCGATACGCTTTATATGAAGAGATTCCTGTCCCCAAGGAGGACGTGCCTCCTGAGAAGCAAGTTCCACTAGTGCCAGCTTACGAGCGCTACGCTACCATTAGTAAATCGGCTAGAGAGATCCGCCGAGACCGATACAACGCTAAATTGGAGAAACTGGTGAGAAGAAATTTGATAATCTATATGAAAATAAAGTACTGTAGGCCTACCATGACATGTTAAAGCGTGAATCTTTCGGGTGAGAAAAAGGGATGGAGCTATAAAAGGTGTATAGCTCCATCCCTCTGTTCGTTAGTCTTCCTCTTACTTGAGAATGCCTCAACAGTAAGGTTCATCAGACGGGGTTGCGGGGCAAGCGCAATGAGGCACCGCGGCCTCGGCCCAGAGCAATAGAAGGAACGGGGGGTTTTTAGTTAGTAAGAGTCTGACAGCCCCTCCCGCCCCGCCCTGGAGAAGAAAACATTTCTATGATTTTGCCCTAACAAAAAACAAACAGTTGGGGCCATTTTAGTTTGTATCAAGTAAAACTGTTGCTAGATTTCCATAAATTTATGGAAGTCCAGAAAGGGTTTTAATTGCAACAAAATTTGTACTTACAAAATAAACATTTTTCCCATGCAAACCGTTCTATACATAATACTTACTAGATATAGAGACTTGGATGGGAACAAGACTGCCATTCATTATTGTTAAACGGGGTGATACTAAGAAAATTCGCCAACATCTATTCATCATCCCTTTTGGGTATCTATTCACCCCTTTTTTTTGTCAGGTGAAAATCATCCAATGACTTCTCCGGCCCAGGGCCGGGCGAGGGAGTGTCAGACTCTTGCTGACTAAAAACCCCCCCGTTCCTTCTCCTGCTCTGGGCCGAGGTCGCGGTGCCTCATTGCACTTACCCCGGAACCCCGGATCTATTCACCCCTCAAATTCTATTCACCACGTTTTACATTGAAATTAGACATATTAGTTAATTTTGAGGCATATCGGAGTTCGCCGGGACAAGTGGTCTTTTTCAACGACATACGAAAGGTTCGATGAAATTTTGTAATTAACATCACTAGAAATGTAAATTGATAATAATCGCAGTCTAAATATCTATTGAATATTTTGACGATATAACCTAGCATGTAGTGCAGTCGAGTTAGCGTTAAAATGCAAGATACCTCTGGTATGATTCTCTCCCACAGAGACAAGAAAAAGAGGACATGGAACGTCTTTTAGCTGAACAGGAGCGTTTGGCACGCGAAGCCGAACAAGAGGCGATTAGGTTAGAAAAACAACGGAGAGACGAAGAAAGAATGGCGCGGCTGGCTGCAGGGGTAAGATTTCATGTTACTTTTTGCTGGTTAGAAATATTTTTTTATGTAATAGGTCGGCAAAAAAGCAGACGGATTATCTGATGGTAAGCAACCAGCGCCGCTAATTGACACCCCCAACGGAGGAGTTACGAGTACGTTGCCGACCTTTTGGGGATTAGGGTTTTGGAGATCTAGGGATTGGGAGGGATCGGGGGAGGGGAAGGATTGTGCCTCCAGTAACCTCACTCACACGGCGAAACACAAAGCGTACCTGGTTGATTTATAAGATTAGAAATAGGTAACTTCTTTATGATCCTCATAGCAATAGACAGATCAATGTTTCGTTCGATAAAATACACGTAGCAGACGATGCTACGGTACTAGTTGTAATACTGCCTCAATATATGGAGCCACCTTCGAAGCTGACCTTACCTTATCCTCTGGATGATCGTCGTATTACAATATCGGTAAGGCTATTAAGGCTGTCGGTCAGTCACGTAGTGAACTAATTTCATTGTTCCAACATGTAAACTTCTATGTAGAAGAACGAGCTAGTAACTCCATGTTTACCATTTTTCTATCCGTTTCACAAGCAAATAATGGGGTTAAAAAACAAATACTCTCAATGATCTCCGAACTCGATAATGTATTTGGCGAAAAAAATATAAATAAACACATATTTAGTTACCAGCTGATCCTGAGCCCGAGCCTACACCAGTAGCACCACCGGAAGGCGAAGCAGAAGAGCCTATAGAGGGGCAGGAAACAGAAGAAGGTCAGGAAAATGAGCAAGTAGAAGAGGGTGAAAATGAAAAAGAGAAAGTGGACGCGACTGTAACGGAGACTGTATCAGAAGTAGCCACTACTCTTACAGATACGACTCCAGCAGACACAGTACGTACTCCGTAAGGAGTGTATGGTCCCATTGGCTACTTGAGCTTTAGCAAATTATATTTCAAAACATGCGAAATGTCTTTTCATCCTTTGCAATTGTTTTTTCTCAAAAAAATATAATTTTGAAACATTAATCCTATGATTATTGAATTTCGCTTTAAAACTCAAGGTAGCACTGACGTCAACTTAATGGTGTAAAAAATAAGTTGAAAATACAATATCTGTCCAACAGCCAAATACGTTCATTCATATCAAATAAAAAATACAATTAGTACGAGACCCATTATATGCAATACAGGAGATATTGATATTGTTATTAATAATAAACAGAACCCTGACGAAATAGCTGCAGAGGAAAAAGTAGAAGAAGAAGAAGAATTTAACTCGGACATTGAAGTAGAGGGAGAGGAATATATCCCTCCAGGAGGGTTATTCGTACCTGGACTGTATACCCCACCTAATGAGTTAGCTAAGGCTAATGGATTGGCATATTTCTATCCTAAGGTATGTTCTACAAATTGTACAGATGTTAAGAAAGAAAAACATTGATCCGGAACTCGCACAGGACAAAAAATCTTACAAATCAATTACATTTTAAACATACAAAAAGGAAAAAAAAAATAAAAAAGCAACAAAAAAAGGTTACAAAATAAAATAAAAGACCTGTGCGAGGTCAAAAATACCCTCTCAGACATGCTGCGATTATTCACCAAATGGTAAAAATACCGCTGCGCTGATATTCTGATAGGGCCTGGTGATGTACGATGTATCGCTTAGATTTTTTTGTAGTTTATCTTCTATCCTTGCGGTAGGCAGAAAGTCTATTTTATCATTATTTTTTAAAAGAGTGAGCCACCCGAGTGTTTCGGATAACAATCCTAAAGTCACTTCAAAAGCATTGTTTTTCACGACAGTGATTTATATGAGGTTGTAGTATCGAGCCGCTGTCGCCATCCGTGAGTCTTCATTGGAAAGCTGAGCTACGAAATTTTTGATTGAATTGCAGCAAGTGATGGACTTGGCAACCGTGATAGAGACGGAATACTTGCCGCCCCACGTGCTTGTGATATTCACCATAGACAAGCGACACGACGTGCAGGAAGTCACGAAACAGTACCCGTCCGAAATCTTAAATGTAAGTGCCTATCGAATTTGTAACAAGTTCTACACACAAGTTCACTGGATCCCTTTTTATATAATTTCCTAGCTACTCACATGCGGTTTCACCCGCTGCTGCGCTTCTGCAGATCGTAGCGTGATGTTTTGTAGCCTTCCTCGATAAATGAACTAACAAATAAAAAAAGGATTGTTCAATTTGAAATAGTAGTTGCAGAGATAAGCGCGCTCAAACAAACAAACTCTTAAGCTTTATAATATTTGAATAGATTTACTTGATGTTTCAAGTTTTGCAAGAAGATACGTATTATTTTGCGTATATCATTATCTCAGGCTCAGGCATATAAACAGTATCAGGCAATTTAAGCTGAAAAATTGTAAAGTCACTCTTCGAAAAGGCTTTAATAGGACCGTACTAAGGTAGTCGGTAATAGAAAATACACAGAAGATACAAGTTCTAGGTATATGTTTAGAAATAAAAAAAGAGTAAATACAGATTGAGCATTCATAGTTTGCTTTTTGAAACGTATAAATAATCAATTAAGCAAATCTATAATTAATTTCATTGGGTACTTACTCTAAGTTTGTTTTAGTGTAATTATCTAAATTGTAAATTTTTTCAAGTTACAATTATAAACAATAAGTCTGTTAACCAATTATACTTAATGTACCAAGTTCCGCAGGGCTTCGCCCATGTGGTATATTCATAACTTATGTGTTAATCCAGGATATCACCTATCTACATATTAGATTTCAACCAAATCATTTCAGCCGTTTTTGCGTGAATGAATAACAAACATACATCCATAAAACATTCTCAAAAACTTACATTTATTATAATATATAAGTAGGACAAGAGGATCAACCGGGGTTTTGCGAGGTAAGCGCAATGAGGCACCGCTGCCCCGGCCTAGAGCAGGAGAAGGAACGGGAGGTTTTTTAGTCAGAAGAGTCTGACACTCCCAATCTCTGACTTCTACCGCCCAGGGTGGGGCCCTGGGCGGTAGAAGTCATTTGATGGTTTTCCCCTCACAACAAGGACTAGATGATATTTACTATGTTTAAAATGTAGCATTGCCAAACTCAACCCCGGTTATTTTTATAAGTATTTGACGTATATTGATTAGAAATAAAAATATTTTTAAGTATTTGATAATAAAAACCATTATTGGTGTCACTATTGTAGCTTAATTGCTTAACAATATGGCGGCACTAAAAGTAGGTTACATTAATGTTTCGTCTGCTACTCTTTATACGCCTATGCTCGTTATAATGCTATGATTTTAGTACTGTACCATAACTTTAATATACAGATGGGCGTCTTTGTCGGCGAGGATCCATACAATGCAGAGCACGTAGCTTACACCATAAAGCAGTATGATAAGATGGATCGACCAAGGAGATAGTATGTATACGGTTTCCATCATGTAGAGTTTAAACGGGTGACTATGGTCGCATGATTTTTATCGCACGGCTAAAAAGTACCTTTTAAAAGGCAAACTGACTTTTTTATGTAATAGGTCGGCAAACGAGCAGACGGATTACCTGGTGGTAAGCAATTAGCGCCGCCCATGGACATTCGAAACAAAGGAGTTACCTGACCTTTTGGAGATTAGGGATTTGGAGTTTTAGGGATTGGGGCTCCGGTATCCTCACTCTTATACACTCTGGTATCGTTGTGTTTCACTTACACGGTGAAACCATGACCCATTCGTGCCGAAGCATGGCTCTCCCACACTTGGTTGCAAAGTGACAACAGACTAAATACAAGTTCCTGAAACCACGAGCGATGAAGTTTGTCAGTGTTCGACTTTAGTGGAGCGGGTGGTAGCAAAATGGGTCTGGTTATTAAAAGTCGAGAATGTAAAGAATCAAATGCAGATGCTCGCCTGTCGCAGTCTACTGGCTATTTTAAAATGAAGTGACCGAGCCACCCATATAGCCTCGTGTTTCTTAAGTCGATGCGGCTTAATCAGGCAATTTTGGGAAGAAGTAGCCATAGGGCTACACAAAAATCGCATGGTATAGTCACCCGTCTAAACCCCACATAACGTGTGACGTATGGTGGGTAGCCACGACCGACTGGCGCTGATGGTGTCACGCAAGCGTAGCCTGCCACTGCTACAGCTGGCGGGGCTCAACCCAGTCTACATCAGCGCAGATGTCATCAGTGGCGAGCGCGAGTGTCTCGCCATGTTCCCAGTGGGATACGGAGACGATCACGTGGAAATAGAGAGCGTCAAAGAAGAAGAATTGGTGGTAATGATCTCTCATTTATATTTTACTTTTTGTACATGTTACTGGCCAAATCCGAGTTTCAGGACAAACCAATTTTGCATAGACTAAACTAGTTCTTCCTAAACCCGATAGGATTAACTAGTATATCCAAGATCAAGCCAATTTTTCCTTAGCCCGATAGGATAAACCAGTCTAGGCTAGATGAAACTAATTGATCCTGATATTAATAGGCACACTATTATAAACTGATATGGCCTTGTCGAAATATTATAGTAAATCTAGATTTCTACCGTTGTTCCCAATTTTTCCAGATTGAAGAATGCAGGGCGTTCCTATAGTTAGAAATATATCATTCAATTTATAAGCCACGTCTATCGCTCTCTTAGATTGTAGAGCGTGTAGCAGAACAAATCTTGTTAGATGGTCTTGTTAAACCATAATAAATTTAAAATTTCCATCTATTTGAGTCTGAAAATCGATCAGATCTACTTGGCACCTACTATTCATTTTCGAATGAAGAATACGCTTAAAGACTAATCCTCTGTTCTTCTTCGATGACAGACACTACACGTTGATTAATACGAGCTTATCATATCTTATCCCGTCATGACCATCATACACAAGAGCAGCATGAGCTGTGGCAATCACATCATAAAGTTCATTGGTTGGAACATAGTATTTTATATTGCCTTCACTCCACACAATCCCGTTTTTCACGTCCCCGATTTCTCCCACAGCAACTTGGTAAATTAAGTACACCCTTCGAAGTCATTCATACATATTTCTATTAAATGTGAGCAAGAGACACTTTAGTGCTCACCAGTCTAGTCTATTTAGATAAATTAAAGAGACTGCGATCCGTTCGAAAACTTAGCGAATTAGTACTTGGAAACTTTTCTGCAAATCCCAGTTTTCGCAGCACCGTCCAAAGAGCCTTGCGAGGGACACTGTCAAAAGCTTTTTCCAGATCGATGAAGTATTGGTAAAGTGTCTACCTTGCTCTCTGCTCTTCTCCAGCAGCTGTCGAACTGCGAAGATTGCGTACGTATCCCTATCTGGCCGGAAACCAAACTGCGTTTCTAGCAGAATCTTTTTAGTCAATTTTCTTACGTGGTTGAGCAGTATTCTGACGATATTCTGGCGACTTTAGAGGAACCTCGACAAAATAAGAATTACCCAGTAGTTTACGAACCTCACTATATAATTGTCCAAGTTGATGAATCAAGCAAGCCGTTGCATATAAGTACTGCGCTTTATCTCTCCATCGTCGTATAGTTTTAATCTTGCTGATTCGGCAAGGTAGCCGAAGGCAAAGACACAACTTAACAATGACAATTAACAGCAATGTACACTGCGTATGACACGGGGTGCGTCCGTATTGCTGGACCCACACACAAACCTTTGTATAACCCCCATTAGATTCATACTCCTTGGTCCATATTATGTGACCACGCCATTTATTTCATTAACGAGATAAATGTTAGCACCCAATTGATCTTCGTGCTTGTAGTCGATTTCACTTGTTTTGGGCGCTAACAACAACAATACTTGTGTTTTGTAAACTTAAATTTGTATCTTGGGTGGTAAACGTCGGCTGATGTCTTGTAGTTAGTCTGAGTCAGTTGAATGCATCGGTGTTGTGGTTGCTCTCTCGCAGCCAGGGCTGCTACTGCGTTAGTGTAATAAACACGGATTGATTGCTTTGTACAATGACGTCCCTTTCGGTTGCACGACTAGCCACTATATCGTCTAGAAGAAAAAAGTGGACTTTTTAAGTATGTATACCAACAAGGTAAAAAAAGAAATCATAATTGATTACTAAAATTGAAACAATGTGTTGCTTAGACTTTTTTCTATGAATCACACCTTGGTTCCTTTTCTTGCTTCGAGCCGGACCACTGCAGTCATGAATAGGCCCTTAGAACGCGTAGTTACGTCTTGTTCTGGTGGTCGGGGCACGAGGAAGACTCTTCCCTCGCGCACTCTCCCACCGGCTGTATTTCTAGCTAAACACGTTATTTTACTGAAAAAATGTTTGTTTTACAGGAGGTAACGGAGGTCTCACCGGTTGAAGTCACGGAGGTATGATAAAATTTTCAAGGTGCTTCGATAGGATACAAACGACCCCTAGACGTTAACCTCTCACTGTTTAGCCATTTCTACGAAGTAATGCTTTGAATAATAAACATGTCTTGTTGCTAACAGACTCCAGTTGCTGAAGCTAAAGCAGAGGATAAAGAGGAAGACGAAGACGAAGACGGAGAGGGAACCCAAGACGAGTGAAACATTTTTTGACTTTCATAACATTAAATTTTAAACACATCATAAGTCTTGCGTGCTAACTAAGTTTAGTATCTGTTATAAGTCATCATATATAGTTCCTGAGATCCTGAGGATAATGAATACCGATATTGAACTTTGTTGGCCTTAAGGCTGTTCCAAAATTCAACAATAAAATTTTGACCATCGCAAAAGTTTCCAATGATTGTTTTTTTTTTATGTCATAAGTCGCCAAACGAGCAGACCAATTACTCGGTGTAAGTATGCCCGTATTCCCGTATAGCCGAGGTCTCTGATTTGATTTCGATCCAAAATATTTGGTAGAACAAGCACAAGTGTGGGAGAGCCAAGCTCAAGCACGAATGGTTAAGTGTGGGAGAGCCAAGCTGCGGCACGAACGGGTCGGCTCGACCGGAGTGCTCCCTTCCCAATGCCAGCTGTCAGCGAGGTGACGGCCACCACACACTCTTTTTGGGGAACGAGATACGAACCGTGTGCCAGCGTGCGACCGACTTCACCGCGTTCCGGAATCACAATAAAACAGAATACGCAAGAAGCCTTATTTCATTTCATTTGAAGATGGAAGAAGGCGAACGCCCACACACCTCCCCTTCATAAGTATCTGAATTCCCGAAACCCTTATCCCTAAAAGTCCGGCAACTCCTTTGGCGTTGCGGGTGTACATGGGCGGCGCTGATTAGAAATTAGTGAAATATATTTTCAAATTTGATATAAAAATAAAAATTAGTCATGCTTGTTTATCTGGATTAAGCCATTGACGCGTGCGTTCGTGCAGCGGAATGTTGTTGAGTTTAAAGATTTTAATTATGCAGATATTTAGTGTATGACGTCGTATAATTGTGTATGGTAAAAAAAAATTTGTGCACGCAACCATTGTGGAGAAATTCACCAAAAACTGATTCCGCTGGGCGAACGTTGTCCTGGCGGAACTTTTTTTAATCCATAGACTTTAGAAGAAAAGAGATGTATCCAAAAATTAGTGTGTATTTGTGTGTAATTGTGTATGTATGAATAAAACTAGTGCATGCATAAACTTCGGAGAAATTCAAGTTTCCGCTACGCGAACGTTTGGCCATTAGCTAGTTTTCATATAAAGCGCTTACATAGAGAGCTGTAGATTTTTACATACGTTGTTTTGAATTTGTGTATATTTGTTTAAAAAACTGATTTAGAAAAAATCGTAGGGTTTAAAAGATAAAATTATAAACGTAAAATACGCTTATTAGATCTTAGCTCTTAAAGTATGCACTTTAGGGTCTAGATTTTCACGTTTATACAAACCTTGTAAGTGTCTGCAACATGTTGCCAAGTATCAATGATGTTCCGTTAGTAATTAAACAGTTATAGGACTAATTTACCATGAATAGATCACTGTTTACAAAGCAGTCAAATATCACGACGTTCTAAATGAATTGCATGGTAAAATGTATGCCAATAATTAGTGTATTCATTCAACAATTCACATGCAAAATTTCATGTCATTAAATTCAGTAATTAAAGAAAAACAATTATAATACTGACGAAGCATCGAAAACCTACATAACCCGACCAAGTTCGGATGGCTACAAAAAAGCGGCCGTGCCATATATCTACGAAACGTTCTTAACTTTCCAATATAGCATTTATTAATATGGTACATTATCGTACACAAGCGTTAGGAAAAAATTAAACACAGTATCGTACACACGCTCGTGCATGCCTCTATTGGTTAAATAGTGTAATAAAAAATATTGGTTAAATAGTGTAATAAGCTACAATATGATAAATATTTACCTAAACAGTAGTACTTAAGTACTTACATGTGGTAAATATTTAATTTCCCTAAGGGGTCTATAGTTAGAATCCTGATCCGTGAAATCTTCAATAGAAATTAGCTGTATGAATTTTATTTGTCTTAAATATAATTAGATTATATCTCAAATCTCAAGCGCATACTTAAATAAAGTACCTACGTAAATAGTACCTACTTTCTGTCATAGTCAAATACATTTAAAAAAGTAGGTGTCCAAAAATAAATGACCTATAAATTATTTCGAAACAACAAGTGTGTTATCACCTGTACCAATTCAATACCGGTATTATACTGTAAATTTTGGGATGTTACCTAAATATATTGAACAGCCGCTTTTTTGTAGCCATCCGAACTTGGTCGGGTTATGTAGGTTTTCGATACTTCGTCAGTATTATAATTGTTTTTCTTTAATTACTGAATTTAATGACATGAAATTTTGCATGTGAATTGTTGAATGAATACACTAATTATTGGCATACATTTTACCATGCAATTCATTTAGAACGTCGTGATATTTGACTGCTTTGTAAACAGTGATCTATTCCTGGTAAATTTGTCCTATAACTATTTAATTACTAACGGAACATCATTGATACTTGGCAACATGTTGCAGACACTTACAAGGTTTGTATAAACGTGAAAATCTAGACCCTAAAGTGCATACTTTAAGAGCTAAGACCTAATAAGCGTATTTTACGTTTATATTTTTATCTTTTAAACCCTACGATTTTTTCTAAATCTGTTTTTTAAACAAATATACACAAATTCAAAACAACGTATGTAAAAATCTACAGCTCTCTATGTAAGCGCTTTATATGAAAACTAGCTAATGGCCAAACGTTCGCGTAGCGGAAACTTGAATTTCTCCGAAGTTTATGCATGCACTAGTTTTATTCATACATACACAATTACACACAAATACACACTAATTTTTGGATACATCTCTTTTCTTCTAAAGTCTATGGATTAAAAAAAGTTCCGCCAGGACAACGTTCGCCCAGCGGAATCAGTTTTTGGTGAATTTCTCCACAATGGTTGCGTGCACAAATTTTTTTTTACCATACACAATTATACGACGTCATACACTAAATATTTGCATAATTAAAATCTTTAAATTCAACAACATTCCGCTGCACGAACGCACGCGCCATTGACTGCCAACAGATTGCTGTTGAGGGTAAATCCTCCGCTAGCGTGGCCCAAATGTTGTCCCCCGTGGCGTTCAACGAGTTAAGCTAGGTTTCAGAAAAACGAAGTCTGCACAAGTCAAATAATCTTTATTGCGTTACGGGATAAATCTATCATTGGATATTCGTTCATGTCCCTGGGGCCTGCCTGCCGAACTTCGTGGTTTTCACGGTTGTAGGTATGTACTGTAGAACCTGGCTTACATGAGATGATTTTTAGGAGGTTGTTGTATACCATTCTCTAGTCCTGTCAGGTTTTGTCCACTTCACGCAACGTTTTCTGATATATTTGTTACACCTTACCACGGAGTACAGGAGGAGAAGCATCCAGACGCAAAGCGTCTTCAGGTACAAAAGCAAATAGATTTGCTATTGCTATGTACAGCAGTGTATGTAGTATATGAACGATTCAAAGAACATTATGCACCATGATACACATTTAAAGAATCATTCGTTTATGTCCATAAATCTTGAAAATAAATAACCAGTGATCTAAAATCAGGGAAAACTGGTTTTCGTTTTTAGACAACGATATCCTAGTTTACTTATTTTAGGGTTTCCGTAAAAGTCCTGTTGTGCGAAATTAAATACTTAGCAAAATCTACTTGCAACTTTTATTTTTGTTCATTTTTCCACCGAAAATAAATGAACGTTTTGTTTTTTTGTATTTTTCTTGTACATTTTTAAACGTAATTTTATGAAGCTTGAAATTAACTGTAACATGAATTCTTAAAATATTAATACTCGTATCAAGTTCGCTACGTTTTCCATATTAGTAAAGATTGTTATTATTCGGAATTACTTCGGCTGAATTTAAACAGGTACATTCGCGATAAATAAACTCAATTCCATCATTATTTCGCCAATAAATTCATCAAAGAAAAGAAATTAAAAAATAATTAGAACAAGTTAGAAATTTAACGGTGGCAAGCGCTTATAAAGTTATCGTATCTCGAGTCACAATGGGTAGTTGCAGAGCGTGCTCGTTGTTTTATATTGTTACTTTTTAATTGAAATGTTAAATAAAGAAAAATCTTTAACCTCTATTACAATGTTGCCTGTCATAGAAATAAATGTTTGTTTAGAGTTGAAATCCAAACTGTGTATATTGTGTCTTGTTCTAACGAGCCACACTTTACTGGCGTGCTGGTCAACGGGCAAATATTATGATTGGCAAACGACATCCGTTAAAGGGCCTATTCGTGATGGAACCTATTTTGAAACTAAACTAAATCCAAGTTATAGATACTTACCATACAAACTAAGGTATCTACACATGGGTCTACATGGATTTGATTTGTTTCCACAAGTTGCTAGAAACTGGACAGATTGGTACACAAAGGAAAGTAAACGACAAAAGGAAGTGAGCTACATCAATGAACGTAACAAAAAAAAAGTTTTGGCAGACCGCGGTGCTGACTGGCCTACGTTACCTGGATGGGCCGGTACTATACTATATATTTCATAACATTACAATATGCATATCGTAATATACTCAAGTAAAACGCCGATTATCCGTATTGATTTGGACCGGGCTCCTTACGGAAAGAATAACAAATGAACTATCACTCACAGAACAGAGTTAATTAAGTGTACAAGTACGCTTTTTTAACTAATCGGTTAAATATGTAGATTAAGTTGAAACCCCACCAGGCCTTAACAAAACTACAAAGCGGAGGTATGTGATTTTTAATTTTTAAATTACGTTTAATATTAATTCGGATGATTGGCGGTTTGGATAATCGGCGTTCTACTGTATAGTACGAAAAGGTATATATCCAAATGTTAGAACTAGAAGTGGAATAGCTAAAACCCGGCCAAGAGTGTAGGTATCGGGCTACACTTATGGTTCACAAGTTAAAGGACAGACAGACAGACAGACAGACAGACAGACAGACAGACAGACATGACGAAACTATAAGATTGTTCCTAAGTCCTAGTTGACTACGGAACCTTAAAATGAACAAATCGCACAGCACACAGTACAGTAACGTACCTAAAAA